ATCACAGATATACACTCAACATTTCTATATGCACGAGACCTCTTGGAGTAGCTGCTATGGTTTTGGGCATTGATGAAGAAGCTGTGGCAATTAATTTCTTAGAGAAGAAAGTGAAGAATGATCCTACATTCTCATACGAGGAAACCATACTGCAATTTCCGCTATAGAAGGATTATGAGGCCAATGAAATTGAGGTGGGGAGTAAGGAAAATCCACTTTTCAGAGTGTTGTCCACGGAGGAGATTGACGAGCATTTGACGGCACAAGTGAGCGTGACTAATAAGTCACCGAGTATGTACTAGGGCCACATGGCATAAACTCTTCTACAGGTTGATTAAAGACAAAATCTGTTTTTTTTGGTGGTGGTGGTGTTACTCTACAACTGGCCCCATACCTACGTGAATGCTGGTTCAAGGTTTTTTTCTCTAAATGCTGGTGCAAGCTGATACTAAAGTTTCTGGCCCCATACCTAGGTCACTAGGTAGGTTCAAAGAGCTCCAAACCATGGTTTTCAAAACCAGACCGGACCGGAAAAACTAGGAACCAGTTAGGTAACTGGTTCCATTTTTTTTTCCAAAACCAGATTTTGGCCAAAAAAAATTGATTTCATCAGCAAATCGCTCACCCGGGTGGTTGAATCGTTCGAACCGTTCAAAGGTTTTGACTGTTTTTTATTTTTTTGAATTACTTTTTTTTATCATAACAGTTCGAACGGTCGGCCCGTTTGACCTGGGAATTGGACCCCTAACTGATTCGTTCCTCGGGTCGATTTTAAAAACCTTGCTCCAAACGCTCTCAAGTATTTGGGGTTTTCCATCGAAGATTGGTAATTACAACTCTCTTAAGCAAGAATACTGAACAATATTTCTTCTAAAGGGAAATTTTGGAATTTTAGAATTGTTTCAAGTTGTATGTGACCTCAGGTGCATTAGATAACTAACAGACCATGGTTTTTAAAACTGACCCGATGATCGAACCGGCTAGGGGTCCGGTTACCGATTTGTACGGTTAATCGGCCAGTTCAGTAGCTTGCTGACCAAAATCAACGGTTTTGGGGAAAAACCGGAAATCGGTCATGGTCCGACCGTCCAGTCTGGTCCAATTTTGAAAACCATGTAACAGACTATTAATGACAGGTACTAAACTAGCAGTTTTTGTGAAAGTTCAAGTACTATAGCACACTTTAAAATTCAAATACTAAAGTGAGATTACCCCTAAAATGCAGGGTACTTATCTCCAATTTTCTTCTTTTTAGTTAAATATTAGTGTAATAGGTGGAGTCTTTTCCCTGGAACGAGATCTGCTCCTCACACTTGGGTGCCTCACATGCACATCCACCTTGGATTAGGAACATCTCCCGTGAAAATAACTTACAAATACGGGAGATATTCCCAATGTATAGTAAGATGTGCAAGTGAGGCGCGTGTGAGGTACCCGATGTGAGGAGCAGATCCGGTCTCCTTTTCCCTAACATGATATATACAAAATTTACCAAAAAAAAAAACACACATAGGGCAAAAGAAAGAAGGATGCGGTAGTTTTTTCTCTTCTGCTTTTCAGAAAAAAGAAAGCTGCAAAATTACTTTTGAATTTTTGCTTTGGTTTAATTTTTAGGGTAAATTAGACAGATCCCATGTAGCATGGTTTTTAAAAACGAACCGGTGACCGAATCGGTCAGGGGTTCAGCTACCGGTTCAAACGGTCTGACCATTCGAACCGAATGGTCGGCCCGTTCTGACAAAAAAATAAAAAATAAAAAAATTGGAAAATGGTCAAAACTGTTCGAACGGTTTGAACAGTTAACTGGCCGGTTCAACGGTTTGCTGACCAAAATCAACAATTTTGAGGGAAAAAGCGGTTTTGGAGGAAAATGAAACCGATCAGGTGACCGGTTCCCGGTTTTTCCGATCCAGTCCGGTTTTGAAAACAATGCCTTGTAGTATGGGTTAGTGACAAAAATCCTTGCACTTTTTTTGCAACAAAGACCACTAAAGTCATATGACGGAATGTGTTAAATTACCAAAATATATTATTAAATTCTCTATTTTCTTTTTTCTTGCCATTCTCTCTCACAAACTAATTGCCCTAAAAATACTTTTATTCATCGCCGGAAAAGGAAAAAATCTGGTGAAAAATCTCCGGCAATGAAAAACCTAAATTTCTCACCACCAAGCACGTGGGCTCCTAGGTCTGCCCCAAAAGCCCTCACCAGTCCCTGTTGGTCCACTTAAGTCTGTTACCTCCTCCTATATATCATACTCATACTCCTACCAATCCCAGACTCCCATTCAAAACTGAAAACCACAAATTCGTGATTCGCCAAATTGTCCTTTCGCTTGTTATATTAAAAGCCAAGAGCCAAGAACAATTGTTGTACAAGAAGATAACAGAGAGCAATCCACTGGTCGATCCAAAACCAGTATTCCATCCTTAGCTCAGCTGTAGAACGTAACGGGCGATCTCCAAAGCTCGAGCTTTTCCTCTTCATTCAATAGCTGCTGCAGCAGCATAGGCAAGGCTTCGAGGAGATTGAGAAGCATGACGATGGGGAAGCAACAGAGGACGCGGTTCTACCTCCTATGTCACTTTACTGATAATAGTCTTGGATGTTCCTTTCTCTCTCATAAATACAGTTCCACCAGCCGAGGCATCAACACTTGTTGAAGCAACAGTGCCCTACCATTTGGGAAAGACCTGGGAAGATAGCTAGAACCACTCAGCAACCTCAGAATTTGCATCAACACAGCTGTAAAATAGAGCAAGAGCTACTCCTGATTTTGGTAACGGTAGATGTAGGCGGTGATTGTGATTGTGTGGTATAATAAAATGTTGGTCTACTTTGATGAATTAAGTCCAGAATTTTCTGTCTTCCAGTATATATAGAGATGAACCAATCACCATTTTATCATCATTTATCAGTTGTGGTTGTGAGGTTTGTTTGTCGGGAGAATGACGGTTCAGCCCAGGGTTAAAATTTTTAGACCCAAAGTACAGTTAGAGTAAGTGCCATCTTGGCATTGATGCCAATTTATGAACGGGCATTGGTGTATAAAGTGGAAGTTTTTCACTTTTTGAATGTTCATAACTCTGCAATAGAATTCAGAAATCTACATTGGGCCTGTCTATACTTTTCCGTTGTTTGTTTGCTTGTTGTTAAAGAGAGAGGAATTCTATCGATAGCATTAAGTGAAAGAGGGAGAAATAAACCACTTATTGTGGATATGAGAAGGACTCTACACTCGAATTGAGATGAAATCATGGCTCTAAATCTACAATATGAGAGTGACTGCTACTAGTTGTTGTGACTGTGAAATCATGGCTCTGTATCTACAACTGCTATTAGTTAATACTTGAGTTTGTGAGGTAGTGGATTCTGATGTGATTGTGACTATGAAAGCATTATTGGTAATTTTTGGCTTACTTTTGTACTCGTGTTCTTGCACCACAGCCTCTGCTATTAGTTGCAGTGGCGACATCCCAACAACATCCCCTGCTCTCTCTTCTCCCATTTTTCTCTACCTCCCACTCTCTTCTCTCTGTCATCCTCCTTCCTCTCTCTCTTCTTCCCTTGTTCATTTTCTAATCTCATTCCCTGTAATCAAGTCCACTACCGTCTCACTTTGATCGCAGCACAAGCATTCAAATATGAACAGTACAAATAAGAAAAAGGTTAAATAAATTAGAAAATGGTAATTTGAATATTTAATAATTTTAAATAGTTAGATAAGAAATTTTTCAAAGTTAACTGACGGAATATTAACGGAGGGAGACTTTGTCTAACACCCAAAATTTAGGAAGCGTTTATCGCTAAAAAAAAAAAAAAGTGCAAGGGTCTTTGTCACTGACCTCATATTTTACAATTTATTTTTTTAGCTTAATTATAATAAGCAAAATAAGAAATAAAATGAATTGATCCCCAACTTATATGAAAGAGAACGGAGGTAAGAAGCACGATGATGTCCCCGGCTCATCATATGAACTGCTCCATCTCATGATAGTATGAAAATCAATTTTGATGTTTCTCATATTAATTATGGTCTTTGCACTGTTGCTTGTATTCTAAGCCATGTCCTAGTTGCCAAAAGCTGTAAACATAGAAGCTTGAACTGCCTGGGGAGCCATTAATATGGCACTGAATTTCCATGAATTCCTATCACTATTGAAGGTGACTCAAAATGGGTGATATTGTGTCTCAAGTCTCAAACACAAGGTGAAGCCCCATGGAAACTGAGAAGCAAAGAAGAGCTACACTAGAATGAAAAACTCCTTTACTAGAAGACTTGCCTTTCACCGTGTCTAGCAAGAGACAAATCAGACTACGGATCGGCTATGTCACAAAGCTAAGATATCTCTTCAACTTTTAGTTTTTCGATTCATCCCTCTCCCCCTTTTCATTTGTTTTGCTGATTTCGGGAGACGCACTACCCCCGTTGTGTATGGTGCCATTTGGGTTTTATTAAAAAAAAAAAAAAGTCGTGTAAGTACTCCAATTGCAAATGAGATCAAATGTAAAAATTTTATATCAGGTACAGTGCAAAAACGGGGATACAAAGCTGAACACCGGGTGAGAAACTGAGAATAATTTGTTTGTTAATTTTTTATTGCAAAACAGAGATAAAAATTCTCCTACAAGCTGAAGACTAACAGAACCCCATGGATCACACACAAACGAGAGTCCGAGACACACAAAGAAGGCATACAATGAAAGGAACCTGTGCCATGTCTGATAAAGTTGTGCGTTGTACCCCATGGAGTCATGGACCACAGAAACGCGTCTCCACGATCGAAATTAACCAGGGCACAAGAATCATTCCACAAATTGGGATTTGGGGTTGAGGAGGACTCCATCTCCTTAAATCTTCATCTTCCCCGTTAGTTTTCGTCAATTAAACCTGAAGCAAAATCTTTTGCAGGCGATCTGCCACCCGGCTCTCGTTTCCTGCAAATTTTTCACGTCCATGTCATGGGATGTCTAAACCCCGACGCTGGATCTAAGCAAGTATTCTAAATTCTCTATCGGATTGTCTATTACACTGTGCAAGTACGATCAAAACCTCGGATCGCAGAAACAATTGAGATTGAGAAAGCTGGCAAGACAGTAAGAAACTAAGGACTTTTTTACAAAACCACGCTCATACAGTAAAGCACTATACCAGTACAGACACGAATATTGCATCCATCAGCTCAACCCCAAGACAAAAAGATGTCACCTCCGTGGTCCGTGGTTGTTAAATTTCATATGTAATCCTACAATTTACCACCCATACTAACATTACAAAAGGACCAAGTAGAGAAGCACTAGTCAGATAATCTAATCAACTCAACCAGAGATCTCAATCGACTTTACATCGGGCTTCTTCACCTCCTTCACTTTCGGCACGGTAACAGTCAACACGCCATCCTCCATCTTCGCTCTCACTTGATCGACCTTGGCATTCTCCGGTAATCGGAACCTCCTCAAGAACTTGCCACTGCTCCGTTCTACGCGATGCCAAGTGTCGTTCTTCTCTTCCTTCTCAAGGCTCCTCTCTCCGCTGATCTGGAGGATCCTTCCGTCCTCAACCTCCACCTTAACCCCTTCCTTCTTCATCCCCGGCACGTCCGCCTTGAACACGTGAGCCGTCGGCGTCTCCTTCCAGTCGATATGTGCTCTTGCAAACTGTGAGGTCTCGGTCGGCAGATTTGAGAAGAATTGGTCGGAAAACGATCGGAAATTGCTTGGGAAGGGGAACCCCTCGAACGGATCCCAGACGTCCAGGGAGAAGGGATCATAGACGTTGGATCGGCGGCCGAAGAAGTTCGGAATGATGGACATTCTTTACAAGAAAACAGAAAGCCAATTCGAGATTGAAACCGCAGACAGAATTTTCTCAGTAGCTTAACGAATGGGAAATCTCTCAAGGAACAGATTACTTTTATTGATGGAAGAGGATTGGGATAATATAAATCTGGATGCTTCTGGAGACCTCTCACTCTCACCTCCTTCAAACCCCTTCTCGAATGTTCTACACAAGTCTATCGTAACCAGTAGTACTCCGTAAGCATCGAACGTGTTCGAGAGCAAACAAAACCGTCGGATCCGGGCACATGGTTAAAGGTAAAATTCCACTTTAGGCTCAGTTTGGAAGGAGGATAAATATAAATTTGTGGAGTACAAAATCTCACATTTTATATTATTTTGTATGTATTTGTATTGTACATATTTGTATTTGTATTTGTATATATTTATATTTGTATTCCTTTCAAATTGAGTTTTTAGGAAAAATTCCTGATTATTACCTAGATTTTGAGCCTAGTGTAACTTTGGTCTCCGAATTTTAAAATACTATAATTCAGTATCTAAACTTTTAAAATGTGACAATATAGTATTTGTCATTAACTAGCTATTAACTAGTCATTAAATGGCATTTGAAAAGGACATAAATGCCTTTCAAGTGTTATTTAATTTTCTTTATCAACCATCTAAACATTGACAAAAAAATTAACGGTATCAAATTCTTGCCTTTTCCATTCAAGAAAGTTGCGATCACATTTGAGTGGGCATTTTGGTGACCCCAACTTTCTTGAATAGAAGAGGCAAGGATTTGAGATTGTTAATTTTTTTTGTCAATGTTTGAATGGTTGATAAAGAAAATTAGATGACTCTAAGAGTATTTGTGTCTTTTTCAAATGCCACTTAACGACTTGATAACAGCTAGTTAACAGCACGTATTGGATTATTATGTTTTGAATGTTTTGGTACTGAATTATCGCATTTTAAAATTCGGAGACCAAAGTGGCAGTAGGCCCAAAGTAGGGTACTAATTGGGAATTTTTCCTCCACTTTACTATATTGTACTTTGGGAGTAGTGTCAAGTTAGTACCCAAATTTTCCAAATGTGTTAATGCAATATCCAAACTTTTAAAACGTGTCAAATAAGGTATAAAACCATTAATCGATATCAAGTACCATGTAAAAGAATAAAAATGCCCTTCACCTATCATTTAATTTTTATTTTTTTTATGGTTGGTATTGGAGTGCCTCTCCAATACTCTCTAGATTCTCTTTTCCAGCGGCCATGCTCAAAATCACCCTCCAACACCACCAAGAACGAAAACACATCAAAAGTTCTTTTTCATTTTGAAGCCACATAGAAATCGTTCTTTTTCTTTTTCCTTTTCTTTTCCTTTTTCTTTTTTTCTCTAGAGCATATGAACTGATGATGTGTGATCTAGCAGCTCCCTGCTGGCTGATGACTCAAAAGCTAAGTTGGAGAATTCCTTGCTGGAAGGTGACTCAAATGCCGAGCTGAGTAAGGTCGAGCTAGAAGATAGCTCAGATGTCAAGCTATATAATGGAGAGCTGTGTAATTTTCTGGGAGACCTATAGTGAAATAATATTAGAGTGCCAAAGTTTCTTTACCTGGGGTGGGCACTCCAATGCTTAAGTCAGCGAATTAAAGACTTTTGAGAGAGCTAGAGAGCTGCGAGAACTAAATTGCGCATGTACCTTGTGAGGTTGGAGGTGAGGCCTATATATAGGCAATGTTTGGCGTGGGCTTCACGCACGGTGTCTGAGATCTCTAGGAGGTCATGGCTAGCCGAGCCGAAGTCTTCGGAAGTAGTGGCGCACGTAGACTAGGCTTTGTGCCTCTGAAACATTCGGTGTAGGAGTTGACTTCCGGAAGACCCAGGAATGACGAAATTCACACACAGAGGTTGACGAGCATGTCTCGCAGGTCACCACCTGGACCTCAGACGAGTCGACAAGTCCTCAAGGGAGGTCACTCCTCACGCCGAGGTCACTTGGACAAGTAATGGCGAGGTACCACAGGTCAGCCCTATACAAGGTGTTCCTAGCCGCCTTACCGAGGTGCCCAAGTTGTAAATGAGGTTGCCAACTAGGACTCCAGTTAGCCGACGGAGGTAGGTTGCCAGGTCAGATTTCAGCTAAGGCAAATCATCACCTACGTGATGTCGGGGTGTCATCTAGCTGTTTTGAGATGCCACATGTCACGATGTCAATGGAGGGCCAATCTTCCCTCATCAATTGCCCCCCATTCCTGAGCTGAGGTCAGCTTGACAAAGGGAGTAGCTTGTTGCATGTCCTTTTGGCCCGGAATGACTAGTTCAATGAACTCGTAGGCATTGGTCCAGTTCGCTCCCCAAGTCAGAAGTCTTAAGGGTCAAATACAGCCTTACATAAGACTTCTCCATCTTGATTAGCAGGGCACGGGAGAGAACTCATATGCTCGAGGAGAGACAGAGCAGGCACCCCAAGGACATCTACCTTACTAGGGATGCAACCGTCAAGGAGTTCTACAATTCGGCCAAATACCTCAAGAGTGAAGTTCGTCATGCCATCCTCACAAGGGGCTTCCAACTACATGAGTGCCTCTTCAAGTCGCTCCACTTACGTAGACTACAACGCAATGTCCCTCATGCCGGTCCTCGAAGGAGTAGCCGACAAGATCGATGCGAAGCCTAAATCCGAGGTGGAGGACGAATGTGAAGAAACCAACCAAGTTTGCATGTCTACTGCAATCCTGAAAGCGAACTAGTCTTCCTTTCTTCCATTTCTCTTTTTTTTTTCAAGTCGACAATGAGATGTCGACATCCTTTGAGGTCGATTTAAGCGTAGTGGTGGCAATGCTGCCGAGCTAGATAGATGGAGACTGGGGAGTTGACCTGCTTAGATCGATCTACCCATTGTCGTCGTGTTTCGAGGTTGGCTTGAGGGGGCCTTAGCTAAAAACTGGTATGGCTTTCCCTTAGAGCTTAATTTGACCAGGTCACCAAAGTGGATGGTCATTTTGTAGTAGTTTCAAATGTGGTAGCATCTATGCCATCACGTTGTTTACTCTCCTAGGTCTGCACTTGTAGGTCAATGCCATACATGTACTACACCTGCTTCTAAAACTGTTGGCCGCCCACTTTTACTGGAGCCATGGGGGGCTCACCTTGAGGGGGTGGCTCTACTATCTGCGGGTCGCCTACTCTCACGGGAACCATAAAAGATTTGACCTATGAGGTCGGTTCCTCATTCAGTTAGATGGCAACTCTTACGGGATGCATGAAGGGCTCGATCAATAGTGAAGCTTTGTAGTTTCGGCTGGGAGATAATCTGGGCCAGATCGCTAAAGCTCGCCCGGGCTAGAGGTTCAGATTCTTCCCTTGTGATAGCTTTGTCGATACGTGTTGCTGTCGGCATTGGATGGTAGGTCGGTGCCATGATTGCACCGTATCAGTTCTCCGAGATGCTAGCCGTCTACTCCTACAATAAGCCACAGGGAGCTCGACTTACAGGGGCAGCTCTACTAATTGTAGGTTGCCAACTTGCATGGAAGCCTTGAAAGGCTCGACCTGCAAGGGAAACCGCACAGTCCGTTGGCCGCTAACTCCCATGGGAGCCACGAAGGGCTCGACCTGTAGAGGCAACCTTGCGAAACAGAGTTGATGAGGCTCATTTGAGCTGATTACCGTTGAGTGCAAATATAGAATGGGTTGCCACAATCTGTTAACTGTCAACTCCCACGGGAACCACGAAGGGCTCGACCTGCAGGGGCAGCCTCACTTCGAGGTTCTTGTCGCCGGTCTGGTGATTGTTTAGGTTGTTTTATTGCTGATTGTTTTGCTATTGTTAGTTGTTCTGTGGTGGCATGAATGCGTCAAACTTCTCCTCCCAAGCACGCATTTGGAGATTCAATCTACAGGCGTATTGCACTAGCATGTAGAACCTTCGTGCATTAATCCCTATGGGAACCGTTGACGGCTCAACCGTAGGGAGAGGCACGTTCACTTGGTGCAGCGGGAAAGCTGGGTTCGGTACTGCGTGCACACCAGGTAGGGTTAATGGTACTATAAATTGCCCGATAGTTATTTAGGGCAGTTTTGGTTGAACAATGGGGTGCTCCTACCCCCTAGTGACTTGCATGTTGCTGTTGTTGACATTAGCGGAATGGTTGTTTTTTGAAGAAGCCATTGAGTTTAGTAGTAAGAGTAAAGAAGGTGAGAACTTGGCTTTTTTGTTATGGTTCCCACAAACGGCGCCAATTGATGATGTGCGATCTAACAACTCCCTGCTAGCTGATGACTCAGAAGTCGAGCTGGAGAATTCCTTGCTGGAAGTTGACTCAAATACCGAGCTGAGTAAGATCGAGCTAGAAGATAGCTTGGATGTCAAACTATATAATGGAGAGCTGTGTAATTTTTTGAGAGACTTGTAGTGAAATAATATTAGAGTGCCCGGGTTTCTTTACCCGGGGTGGGCACTTCGATGCTTAAGTCAGCGAATTAGAGATTTTTAAGAAAGCTAAAAGTAAGAGAGCTAGAGAGCCGCGAGAACTAAATTGCGCATGTACCTTGTGAGGTTGGAGGTGAGGCCTATACATAGGCGTTGTTTGACGTGGGCTTCACACACAGCGTCCGAGATCTTTGGGAGGTCATGGATGGCCAGGCCGAGGTCTTCGAAAGTAGTAGCCCACGTAGACTAGGATTTGTGCCTCTGAAACATTCAATCCAAGAGCTGACTTCCGGAAGAACCGAGAGTGATGGAATTCACACATGAAGGAGGTCAGCGAGCATGTCTTACAGGTCGCCACATGGACCTCAGTCGAGTAACTCAAGTTGACAAGTCCTCAAGGGAGGTCGCTCCTCGCGCCAAGATCACTTGGACCAGTAACGACGAGGTGCCACAGGTTAAGCTGTTCCTAACTGCCTTACCGAGGTGCCCAAGTTATAAATGAGGTTGCCAGATACGACTCCAGTTAGCCGGTGGAGGTAGGTCGCCAAGTTGGAATACAGCTAAGGCAAATTATTGCCTACGTGGTGCCGGGGTGTCGTTCAATTATATTGAGATGCCACATGTCGCAATGTCAATGGAAGGCCCAATCTGCCCTCATCATGAACAGCTCTCTCTCACGGTGTTACTTGACATTCCACCGTGACAAACATTTTTTTAACCTAGCCAGTCAATTGCTTTCTTCCAGAAGAGCACGAGGTGCACGACTGATGGAGCCACCTAAAAGGAGAGAGAGAGAGAAACTCTTAGCGAGTCTATG